CTAAACGGGTGCTAAACTTTGGCTCAAGACTAAAATATACACAGGCAGTTTCTTACCCGAGGACTTTTGAAATGTAGTATTTAACTGATTTCTGGCTTGCAACAGGGATTTAAAAAAATGGTCAAGCATGTCCCATAAAGAGGGCTTTTATCCACATGTCTGTTAGACAGATGGAGATGAAAATTGGTCTGAGGTCAAGCCATTTGCAGCATTCTCATAGCCTTCGATTTTCTTCTCATCCCCACCACAGATAATCTCAAATGATTCAGTAATGGCCAAAAGTGCAACATTGACCTTTACTCCCTGGTGGATTACTGTGTTACGTGCTGTAAATGGCAGGAAGTCCATTTTGCTCTTCCAGAAGGAGTTCAGTGTTGTACTTGGCTTTCTACATGTCGAAAGTATAAGTGGAGGCAGAGTACTTAAGAACTACCCCCTAAATCTTTTGTGAATGTGATTTGACAGCATATTCTTTTCTGTGCATTAGAGACTGATTCTCTGATTCTTTTACTTTCAAAGGAATGGATTTAGGACGTGTTTTTCTGGTATCATCAGAACTTTGGGTTTTCTTGCTTTACGTTTAATCATGTTGTTCCCAAGCTGTATTCTTCACAATCTAATGACAAATGTGATTCTCAAAATTGGGTTGAAATAACAAAATTAAATAAAAATGTAATAAATGAGAATACCTAAGCACATGCTTAAGAAGTGGTGATACAGTGCTTTCAAATACTGATCTAACTTTGTGATATAGGAAGGGCAGTTTGCAAGAAAGAATAACAAGCTTCTGACATACAATGGACGTTTTTAGCTGAGCATTGTTTTGTAAAGGTAGGTCTGGACAGCTTTGAGGAAATAGCATGTTATAAGATTTGAATTTTGCTTTTGATCACCCTGGATGCTATAGCTAGTCACTACTGGAACATGTATGGTAGACACTGATTGGAGCAAACCCCGAATTATTGTTGAAACCTCTGAAGCTGAAAGGTGATTAACTAAGTCTCCTCAGAGGAAGGCTGTATTCTTCACTCAGAAGTGAGTGTAGTGGCTCCCTTAGGCTAGGGCTTCCAGCATTAGTAATAAAAAGCACGTGGATGTTAGGTGTCCTGAAAAATATGGTTAGAGTTTGGGTACTTGTATTATACTTCTTTCTTTTCATTCCAGTGCAAAAAATCTGTAGTTATTTAAGAAATCATGTTGATTTAATATAATATCTTGCGTGGTGCTTTGGAAAGTACAGACTGTCAAAATGCAATACGACCTGGAATAGACTATAGTAGAAGAAAACACTTCATTACCTTTTTTTAACAGTGCAGAAGGAAAAAAAAAATACAATTGTGTATACAGGCTCTTTCTTCACTGCTTAGTAAAATGACGTAATTTAAATGAATATTATATTTAATAACTAGTGTGGCTGCTTTGTTCTTTGTCATTATGTTAAGAATTCACTTTAACAAGAGACAAACTTAAGTACAAACACTTGAGTTTGGCAATGGTTAGGTCAAAACATTTAAGTCTTTAATTAGATGGAATGAAGGCAAAAAAATTACATGACTGAAGAAAAAAATCTGTCATCTCAACTTAATTTTACAAAATGCAGCTGAATTCCTTCATGTTAATTTTTAATGATACTTCAGAAAGGAGGGTAGCACTTCAGTCAGAGGTCTGACAAGTTTGTCATTTGCAAATAAATCAGAAGACAGTCATTACAACAAGAACCAGTGAATGATGTAGTTTTGTCATTCTTTGATGGGCCCCACACTCAAGTCCTCTATTAAAAATGAATGTTTTCAAGAGGCTCTGCATTAAGAACACAAACAATTAAAGGCACTTCAGATGCTTTGCTAAGAGCTGCCATGGAGCTAGGAGGGCTTTCATGAGAGATGCAGGCTTCTACAGTCTGCTTTACCAAGGAGCCAAAGAACATGGGCAATTAGTCGTGTTTGTCTGTGCTTGAGCAGCTTTCTGTAAAATTTTCCTTGTTTACTTGTTCTTCTGACTGCCCTACATGTCTCAAGTTCAGCAGTTACATAATAGCTGTGTTATATTGGGAGACCTCTAGAAGTAACTGATAAGTACCTTTCTTTTGAGACTTTCAAATGCATGAGCCCCAAATCTGGAATATATAGCTTACTTTAATGCCACCAATTACTGATGTCTAGTTTTGATTAACAAAGATCTCCTAGACTCCTTCAAAAGAGTGAGTGCTTTCAAGAATACATATATATGCATGAATGTGTATATATATATATAAAGATATTTCATTTTGAAAGATGAACCTACATTGCCTTTTGAACAGCTCGATTTATATTTAAAGTAATGAAAGTTCCTTTTTCTCAATTCTGAATACAACCTCTTGCAACTCCTGATGGGCAAGATTAGGTGAATTGTGCATTAAAACCCAACTTTCACAAGTTGCTAGAGAACAAAAATATTTTTTTAACATGCCTGTGAATAAGAATAGCTTTTACTAAACATTTGGTGTTTACTAAAAACAGGAGATGTATGAAATCTCACGGTGGATGTATAATTTTAAAGTATTTAATTGTGTGTGGGAAATAACGCTAGTAGGCAAACTGCCTTTTAAATGTAAGCAGATTTTGTTATGGAGTGCAGAATAGTCTTTTCAGTTTCCTTTCAGTGTAAATGTCTCTTAACTGGCACTTGTAAAAGCAGCAAGAAATCTCAAAATAAACTCACTTATAGCATGTACATTTAAGTTTAACTGACACTGTGGATAAATATTAAGGATGCTGTTCATATGTGATCATCAATGATGCCCTGCTTTGGTAAAGACAAACTCAAAAGAATACATTTTTTTCAATTCTGATATTAAGTCAGGTATGATAGTACTGAGACAATGATTTTAAAGTAAGATTGATGGGAAAGGGGGAAAGTTGATTATGTGCTTTTTTTTTTTTAGAAAACAAATAAAAATTTTAAAAAAAGTCTAATCGCCCTGCGTTGGGACTGGTAATTATCGCATGATGTTACGTTCTCTTGTCTGACTGTACTGTTCTGTATGCTCTGCTATTACAGTGATGCTCAGGTATTTGGGACCTGTGCAGGAAAACCCAATAATGTGGGCACCTTGCAAGTTTTAAAGACTACTGACAATAGTGTTTGGTTTCCTCACCCCCTCCCAGCTACAATAAGAATACTGTGCTTATCTCAGCATTACTGAATAGGGAGACTAGTGTGTAGGCTATACAGGCCAAAAAACTTTTCAGTAGCAACCAAATGAGTTTCTTACTAAACTTTTTTCTTTCCCTTCTTATCACCTCCTATGATTCATCCTGGCTTCTGTCCTGAAAACAAAGGCAATCCCATTGGTCTTGGGCAATTAACTTCTTGAACCCTAAACATTTTAGCTAAACATCAGCCAAACAGGTTGCTATGTAACAGACTTTCTTTCCATAGCTGACATACCTTGCTTTCTGGAGAGACATACTAGGTATGTGGAAAAATGCCCTTTAGTACATAGATTCTCACAATCGTGTGGGTTTTTCTTTTTTTCCCTCCTTGTTAACAGACACTGAAAGTACCAACAGATTTGGTAACAGTTAAGTTTGATAATAGTTAACCTGGTAACTTCCTTGGTTTGTGGTTTTTTGGTGTGTTTTTTTTTGTGTGTGTGTTTTTTTGTGTTTTGTTTTTTTTTTTTTTTCTGGTATTTATTTAATACCAATACTAAAGGCCACACACAGAATGATGGATATTTTTCAGTTGTGGCTCAAACAAAACAGAAACAGACCACTGTGTTACTGTGTGAAATGGTAGCTGTTTCTATTGAGAAGAGAGATCTGTTCCCCTTGTTGCGGGGGGAGGAAGGTTTGCTTAAAGCAACTGTCACTTCATAGCCCTTATTTAAGGGGAACCTTTTTGTCCGAGGAAGAAACCACCCCAGAACTACTTCAGAGACTCATGTCTCTGCAAAACTTTAGAGTGGCTGTGTCAAATGCCAAATGCTGTTCAGTGTCTTGTATGTAGGCTGTGTTCACATCTGAATGCTAATTTTGGTTTTGTGCAACTGTGCTACAGTGACTGCAAGAGATGTTTTTAAGGAGAACTGTAGGAGTTGTACAAGTACCTTGAGGGTTAATTATGATGGTGGGCAGGTATATAGGTCTGAAAAGCTGTAAGCACAGGTAAGACTGAGTAATAAGAGGAAAAGATCCCTGTACTCCACCAGAAATCCTGTAGTCAAGCTGACATGCCAAAAGCAGGAGATAGAGAAGTGGGAGATACATAAAGCTGTCAAGAGGTGGGACTCAAACACTTCGTCCTGCTGTCTTCTCTGCTGCTTTAGTGAAGGATTGTTCTGTTCTCTGCTGGTTCCTAGCCTTATTGTTTTCCTGTTACTCAGGGTTTTGCTAGTTTGCTGTTATGGACAATCACATTTTCTGATCTGAGTCTTTTTCTTGTCTGCATTATTTTAATTTACTCTCAATATGGATGTCTTAGAAGTCTGTACCTTTTGTCTCTGTTCTGCCTCGCTTCTGTTTTGGTATTTCTTTTGTAGTCTTGATGGTGTGGGTTTTGTGTGTGTTTTTTTTTTTTTATTTAGAAGGTAATTTTACCTTCTAATAGGCAGATAAAATTGAACTTGAAAAACATTTTTCTTCCATGCCTATCACCTTCATGTTATGCTGCTTGTTAATTTGAGTAATAATAAATCTGCCTTTTAAAAGGCTTTATCTTGGACTTAATGGATTTCAAAAATACTTTACTTGTTAATGAGCTATGTGCAAGGACCAGATTTGTGCCTAAATGTGTATACAGATTAGGTGTTTTAGACATGGCAGATGTCTGAGAGTAGCTAACTAAATCTCTGTCCTCATCTGGATGTATATATTAATTATTTATATTTGCAGTAGTATGAAGATACGGATTTTTTGTTACTCTTTTCATCATATCAACTTGATATAATCCTGTACAATAGTTAATATACGGCAACAAACCTAAAACACAGTTTTAATCAAAATACTTTTCCTCTATAGACAGAAATCGCCAAGAGATTGAATACAATTTGTGCACAAGTCATCCCATTTTTGTCTCAGGAAGTAAGTAAAACTGTTCAGCTGTTAAAGTGCAATTATGTTGCTTTTCTGTTTGCAAATTAGCTAGTTTTAAGATGTTAATTTTATCACAATACACAAGTGTAAGAAACATCTGTTATAGCTGAAGTGTGCAAACCCCCTGCTAATTTGGTCTAACAAATCTGAGTTCAAACTAGTGACAATGGCTCAGCCTTATTCATTGCCTGAGGAGGGTGGGAGTCTATAAAATGCTACCAATGCAACAAAATGCTTTCATTTCTAATCACGTGATTGCTTGTTTGATACTCAGTTGTCAAATGTGAATCTAGTGAAACAAGCATACTTATCTTGTCTCCATCATTTGTATCAAATTTTAGTGTAAAAGGTGAGTAGTTAGCTCCAATGCAAAACACTTTTTAAGGTTGCAAACCTGCATCTGGTCTGAATGACTGCGATTGCAGCATATTGTGGGCAGCTGCTGTTAGATTTTGAAACCTGTTATTTTGGATATGCCTTTTCAAACTCCACAGTTGGCAAATTTGTGGTTCTTGTTGAGTTCAGTGAAGCACTTCTTTTCCCTATTTGAATTTTCAGTAGGTTTTGCTGTGTGGGCGCAGAGTCTATAAATGTTAAAATTGACACTGTTATGAAGTTGGCATTATCTTCCTGTCAACTCAATTAGAAACTGATTATTCATTTGCCAGAAAATTAATACTGCAGTGGCATGGGGGAAGAGGTGAGCTGGCTGCCTTCAGGGCTCTTGTTTGCTTTTGAACAGGTGAGAAACAGGGCACTGTTACCTTTTACCTGCATAAGATGTTTTGCAATAGGTAGCACGGGCTTCTGCAGACAAACTGGTTATTCAGCTGTTTGTGATCCTGATTTGATTTGCTGTGGTCAATGTCTTAACACAAATTTCTCCCCATACCTCTTCTTTTTTTAATAGCATCAGCAGCAAGTGGCCCAAGCTGTAGAACGTGCCAAACAAGTGACCATGGCTGAACTGAATGCCATCATCGGGGTACGTGGCCTTCCAGGTCTACCTCCTACAGTGTGTATAACTTGCTTTCATATCTTACTGCTTTGCTATTTTTATAGTAAACTTAATGTTTTGATATCTGTTTTGATGCTCAATGTTACTGAAGTGTTTGCCTTGCATCACACGAATTTTAGCGGGGATAAAGTTAATAGTTTACTTGGTCAGAACATGATTTTGTGCAGCAACACCATGTGTAACAAAACTTTTCCTGCAGGAATAAAATGATTAGGAGAGTTGCTTGTTTATTTATGGGTATTGTATGTCAGTTGATCTAGTTACCTTTGCCTCATGCCTTTTGTGACACTTCAGTTCTTGGAGCCTGTACAACTATTTATTCTTCTTTCTTTCACTCTCTTGTGAACCTTTCATGAATTTTAAATTAGCAAGCTACTGAAAAGAAACTTCACTTGCTTTTGAAGTGGTATTAATTGTCTGACACAGTGTTCTAATAGCCTTTCACCAAGTATGTTCTTCTAAATATGCTGAAATAAGCTAATACTACTTGCTTGTGACTGGTTGTCAATCACAAGTCATTTGCTTTGTATTAATGAACTTTCTGAACCATACATTCCTTCTACTGCATGAGTTCATTTTCCCCGCCACTAAGTCTAGAATATTTCTCATGTTTTCTGCCCTTCGAGACTAAGTGAAAGAAGTAGCAGAAACAAGAACCCGTCCTTTCTGATTTTATTCATATGTGAGCGCCTTGAGCGGATTCAAATTACTCATTTATCAATTTATGTTAATTGCTTGTGAGAAGATGCCCTGCTGGTCTTTATAGTTCCCTCAGACACTTTGTAATGATAATTAGACATGCTGCTGTACGGATTAACAGTGCCATAGTCCAATGACGTCTACAGACAATGGAACCAGTTAATCCATCTGTGCTTAAAATTACATCCCAACTGGAGATGGAAAAAAAAATAGGAGTGAGGGAGGATTAAAAGAATGTGCCTCAGCTTGAAAACTCTCCTTTCATCAGTTTCTCAATTGCAGATCTGCAGTCGGTTTGCCTGTGGTAAGCTATTGGCAGTCAATTAGGTGAAATAAACTGGGAGGGTGACCTTCATTTCCTTTTAATAGCTTTTCCTCCCTGAAATGGGGAGCTTCAGTGGATTTTCAGCTTAAATTTTATTCAAGCTGCTTTATTACACTTGACAGATTAGCTTTGCATAAACATACCCCCCCTTCAAATCTGTGCTGCTTTTTCCCTTCGTATCAAATTTTGACTGTTACTTAGTTGATTTGCTAATCACATCTTAGAAACCCACACAATTACATCTGTATTTGTCACAATCTTCTCTATGCTTTCCTTGTGTAATGAATTACTTTATGAATACCTGATTTGATCTTTGAAACACAGCACATGTACACTTGTGGTATTCGATTAGCAAAGATTAGAGAACTGTACTTTCTTGCATTTTTTAAAATGAATTACTACTTTAAGATGAAAACAGAATGGAAAACCCTTTTTAATGAACCAATGAACTAGTTTTAAAGAATATTTTATGCAGTAATTGGGAAATATGTATTAAAATGTATTTTAAACCATTCTTACTGGCTTTAGCATAGTGCTACTTAATGAAACCAAATTTTGCTATCTCCAGTATGTCATGTACCTTTTTTAAAGTCTGTACAATATAGTCTTTTAAAGGCAATAGGATCTACAAGTACCAGATGCAATTAAGAACCTGTATTTTTTGGGAGGGGAAGCTCTTTGGAAGCAGGAGTAGAAACCTCCACCTTTTTTGTTTTTAAATTATCTAAGATTCACTAAAAGAGATACTTTCCTGTGTCTTCTGAAAGACTTCTGAATGATGCCATACAAATCCAAAACTGTGAATGAGAAAATGAATGGGTTGGGCACAAAACTTCTTTGACCATGTAGATGCATGCATATACATAATGCTAAAATTAGATGTATGTCACAGTGATCTTTTACAGTCTTACATGTTCAGTAATTAACTTGTGCCACACAATAAGTTTCATGCTCTGACATATGCTTGGTTTTGTTTGAAAGGGATGGTGTGCATCCTGGAAAATCATAAAATTGGGTTGACAGTTCAGTGGACCTTTGCTCCCATTCACTGAGCATGCAGCGTGTCAAGCCCTCTCCCCAGAGGGGAGGACACATCAGAAGCCTGTCTGTTCCTACAAGCGGCAGCTGCACCAAGACTGAGCACAGCCCAGTCTGATAGCAGCTGTCCATATTATTCAGTGACCCGACTTAGTGTAAAGAACAATGGAAGGGCCATGCTGTTAAAGTGCAGTGTCTTTCAAGATAAGAAAAGAAATAGTAATTTAACGGTTTAGACATCTATTATGAACATGAAAGATCATGAAGCTTCTTTTCAGAATGCAAATAGGCTGGAGCAATCTGTAACAGTAAAAGATGCAATCAAGTACCCTCTGGTATCATACTACTGAGAATACTTATGTACAATAAATTTTGAGGATAGGAGGAAAGTTTGGTTTTCCTAGCTGATGTTCACCTGTGTAGTTTCTCTTGATTAGATAAAATCTGCATTTTTGTCAGTTTGACTCTTTTCGCCTCCTTCCTTTCTTTCTTTCTGGGCCATTGTTTCCTGACACTAGATGAATCAAGAGTTTCCCAGTTGACTTGCATGAGTTAGAGCACTTCCTGTTGCTGCTGGGCCATATGTGAATTCTGAAAGGGAAAAAGCCTTAAATTAGTGGGAACAACTTGTCAAAATACAAGATGATTTTGATCTTTATACTTTTATTTTCAGTTGAAAAGGTAGAAGCTTATTGGAGGACAGACTGTGAGGACAGGGACTTATAGTCTCATGGGACTGAGACTTTTTTTCAGAGAATTTACCTACAAAGTCAAAAGCCAAGCTTTGGAATCAGTGTATATTAAGCATGTACAAAAGTGAATGAATGGACACATTTTTTTTAAAAAAAGTAATATAGTTGGACTCAGTGAACTTGTAAGCAGTGCTAATCCTCTATGTTGATTAAAAATTCTTACTTCAGGAAAGAACTGTGAATGATATTTGGTTATTAACAGTCATATCTCTAGCCTTATACTTTTCCTGCATGTTCTTGAAGGCTTTAACTTCCAGCCATGGGGTAGCAGTGTGGCTGAACAATCTCCTTGCCAATTTTTTTAAATGGCATCATTTCATATTTGTTGTATTAAAGTTGAATGAAGTAGCAATTTTGCTAGATAAATAATAAACAAAACAAACAAACCTTCCACTTAAAAGATAAGCATACCTGTTAACTCCTTTAGCTGCAGGCAGTGTCCACATTTGGGGTTGAGGGAGAATCCAGACGATGGTATGAAAGAATTAGGTAGATTATCATGGTTTAACTTGAAAGTTTTTGTGGTGTTTTGTTTGGTTTTTTTTTTGTTGTTTTGGGTGGGGTTTTTTTTTTTGAGAGTGTTATGATCTGGCTGGAAAAATCAAAGGTACTCAAACTAGGTGCTAGGAAGTATAAGGGACAGTTAAATTTGTCTATCTAGATCTAAATGTAAAATTTACTTTCAAATTAATAAACTAGGTAGTTTTATGAGTAGAATATGCGAATATCTGAATGGGAAATATAAGCAGCAAACTGGAATCTTTTTTGGCATTGCATTTTATATGCACGATTCTGGTGTACCACCGAGTAGCCAGGTATGTGTCATTTTACCTTTTGAGGTGGGTTACTAATGGTTCTGTGAAATATGTATCTTTTGGATTGACAGTATTCTTGAGACAGATTGAGTTGTAGGCCTCTGAGAGGCCTCTCCACTGTTGCATGAGCTGATTGGCTAAAGGATTAGCAAGATGTGGGATTATTTTTTCTCTCTTGGCTGTGGTTGCCAGCTATCTCTAGGATTGCGGTGTGTGAAGCTTAAGAGGATGAGGTTAACCTCTTGAGGGTTTATTCTTATGAGTGTGTAGTTAATCCTTAGAAAGCCTATAAATAACTAGGCTGTAGGTTTCATTATAAAATAGAAACACAGACTAGAGCAGAAATGAATGCAAAACTTAGTGCGAGGGAAGAACTAAGCAGCTGTAGCATTACTTTAGATCCTCCTCAGCCATGATCTGCATTATGTTCTGAGGGAGGGGAAATTGCCTAGTTCTTTTAAATTAAAGAAAATGAGATCTAGTAAGTACAAAACACTATGTCCTCACTTTTAACATAAACTAGCTAACCTCGAGTCTAAACTACTAAACTGTGGCAATACAAACTCTATTGTGTAGCAACATCCTGGGTTATTCTACTGTTTTGCTTTTTTAAGGTATGTACAAACCTTAATTACTTGCTAGGATTCTGTCATTGTAGGTGCTTTTTAGAATACAAAGGTTCCAGGCTTGTAAAATAAATTTAAAATAGGTAGCAAAGGAAGAAGGTATTTGTCACTGTGATAATTGGTGTTCTCAAAATACCAGTTCCCGAAAAGCGGTGGATTTTTATTGTCGGTGCCACTAAGTTTTGGGGAAAGAAAGCATTATTTATGTGTATTGGTAGTTTGTCCTACTCAAACCAGAAAACCTGGGAGAAGGTGTCTGAAATGTGAATGAATGGATAATGTTAACCAAATTTGGCTTCCACTGGACATTCCGCACCCCCCTCCAGCATCCG